CAGCGTATGTGTGTGTTAGTGTATGTGTGTGTGTGTTTGTGTGTGTGTGTGTGTGTGTGTGTGAAAGAGAGAGATAGATAGATAGATAGATAGATAGATAGATAGATAGATAGATAGATAGAGAGAGAGAGAGAGAGAGAGAGAGAGAGAGAGAGAGAACACAAATATAATAAAAAGTTGTAATTAGTTAGTCTTTCTTTATTTGGGACTGTGTTTGTGATCTTGATGTGATGTATATGTGCCCAATAAATTTTAAAAAATCTAAAAAAAACTTCATTTTCAGAAAAAAAACTTCATTTTCAGATTGACTTAATTTTTCCCTTCCTTGTCTGAGAATCAAATTGATTTCCCCCCTTTTCAAGCTTTTAAAACTGTTTATCTATCTATCTATCTATCTATCTATCTATCTATCTATCTATCTATCTATCTATCTATCTATCTATCTATCTATCTATCTATCTATCTATCTATCTATCTATCTATCTATCTATTTTTAGCTTTTTTTTCAAGATGGCTGGTTTGTTTATCTCTCCTTTTGGTATTTTTTACAAGGACGAGCATTTCTTGTACAGAGAATGAAAGATGAAATGATTAGGTATAGCGTATTATTGTGTTATCTCATCATCTCTCTTCATCTGGAAAATAAGAATCTGTCAAAAGATTTACCACTCTTTTGACACCCTTGTTGGTTGTGGTGTATGTCAAAATTTAACTTTCAAAGGTACGAAAAATCTTATATAATTATTCCACCAACTAACTAAAGATTTCCTTGTCGAGTAAATATGAAATGGAGAGATCTAGAAACACAAAATAATCAGGTGATAATATCATTCTTTATGGGTTAAAGGCCAAACCATTAGGAAACAGAACAAATTTACTATACACTACAAAAAACACACACACACACACACACACACACACACACACACACACACACACACACACACACACACACACACACACACACACACACACACATACACAAACACACTCACACTCTCTCTCTCTCTCTCTCTCTCTCTCTCTCTCTCTCTCTCTCTCTCTCTCTCTCTCTCTCTCTCTCTCACACACATACACCACTCAAATCTACCACGTATGATAAAAACAACAGCAGTAGTAACAACAACAACAACAACAACAACAACAACAACACCCAAAACAGCAACAGTAACAACAGCAATAATTATTGCCTTACAAAAAATATGACTGCCTCGGAAATGGACTGCACCAGTAGCTTAAGTAATTCACCTTTTGACACACATACACAATATATATAACTATATAAAGCACGTATAAAGTTAGATGTTTGTTATATCCAAACTGTAACTCGGTAAACATCCTTTGTTTCCCTTCCTCGCTTGGTTAAATACTACACAGTCAGTGTACAAATCAGATGTGCACACATTTTCAACAGCTTGATTTAATTAAAACTGTTTCATTCAGAACCAAGGTTTGGTCTCCACGATATCTCTTTATTGTATTCTTTTCAGAAGCGAGTTTTACTTTTATTTTTTGCTAATTGCAAAATTTTCCCTGCACGACCAAAGGGATCACCAATGTTACAATGTCAATAATACGATAAGATCGTTGCAAAGTGAGAACAAACTTTCACGTGAGAAATATAACAATCTGAAAAGACTGTATCACAATCGCTTTCAGGAGAGGTAATGCAACGCTTTGTATTTAATAAAGGATTCAGTTGATCGGATCGGAAAACATAGGCCTACCACAAAGTAGAGATCGACATGGACAGTTTGAATCTGCAAGACATTATTATACTCGATCGTAACGTCCATCAAGTCATAAAAAATCGTAAAGCAAGACTAAGTGTCGCCACAATACGTCCACTTTTTAAGTTGGACAAAGAAATGTACTCTTATAACGCAGTGTCATTAATTGTTTGGTAATTCTATAATGATGTCCACCAGTGACACGTGTTAGACAAATTGTGGCACTAAAACCATCGTTGGGATTTGGAATGCCAAATGACTGGACAGCAAACTAACATGACGTTAGTCTGTGAACATCTGGCGGACACTAATATGCAGTGCTAATAAATTTCTCCCTAAATGCTTTTTTGACCCTCCCATCTCCACCCCTTTCCCCCTGTTCCCATCCGTTTTCCCCTCTCTCCCGCCTGCTCTTGTCAATTCACACCATCAGCATAGACCTAATACGGGAAGACAGACAGAAAGACACACTAAGTAATACGTCCTTATATACCTGGTAGACGGTACTCCGGGGGAGGGGATGGTGGTGTGTTTGTTGACAAAAAACCTAGTATGTTTGTACTGACGCAACAGTGATCAATTGTCATTCGTCACCCTTCCAGTATTTGCCCGACAGCAGAGACCAGGGGACAATGCTGAACGAGAAGTGATCCTTGACCGATCGACCATTCTTCGTTCTTCCTTACACCGAGCTCTGGCTCGGAGCTCGCCAGTGTAAGGGAAAACGACGAACTCTCAATTACGCAACAACGGATTAGGATATGACACAA